GTTCAAACATTTGGGGTCAATAAGATAAAAAAAATATAAAAAAAAATTACTCAGCAAGGATGCATTAAATTGACCAAAAGAGAGAGTAACGATTTCTTTCAAATAAATGCAGGTTTTTTTATTTTCTATTCATCAAATAATCCTGAAAAACACAAAAATATGAAGCAGCACAACTGTTTTCAACACTGATAATAATCAGAAATGTTTCTTGAGCATCAAATCATCATATTAGATTTAGAATGATTTCTGAAGGATCATGTGAAGCTGTGATGCTGAAAATTCAGCTTTGATCACAGGAATTAATTACATTTTACAATATATTAACATAGAAAACAGTATTTTAACAATATTAACAATATTATTGTTTTTAATGCTGTCATAAGAGACATAAACATTTGTACCAACACAATTAGTGTATGTTTGACGTTTTACTTACTAATCACATGGTTGATCAATAGTGCTGTAGAGATGATGATCAGCTCCACTCTGCTACGGTGCAGGGCATCAGCATTGAAGGATCTAGGAACACAACAAACCATTTGTCACAGAGCCAACAATATTATTATAAAATGTCAGGTTTATTAAAAGGAAAGAAGCTACAGCAGAGGGGAAATGCAGAAAAGAGAAAGAATAAAGTATATACAGAAAAATTATTTCTTAATTAGGATAACAGAATTTGTTTTTGGGTTTAACGTTACTTATTTATTTAATATTGCTCATACAGTGTAACTTACGTTTGGATGTCAAAACCTTCTTAAAATAAATTAAACAAATAAATAATTAAACAAAATAACAGATGCATGGTGATATAGCATGCTAGGTGAAACATATTGTGATCAAATGGACATGACGTTCTTTAATGAGCTTCCTCGGTTCACCTGTGTTTCCCACTTCTCCGGCAGCAGATTTCTTCAGAAATGTTGAAGTCGTGGAGCTTTCTCTCTGTTATGGGTTATTTTGTTACTACTGAAATCACAGAACATTTTTTTTCATCAATATTTGTTTACCATTGAGCTAGTTTCAGCCAATTTTCTCGCTCCGTGTAAGTAACATCACCGATTACATATACGTTTATGTTTACGTTTGTGTTAGCTAAATAAATTAGCTCACTTCCAAGTAAAACCTTTACAAAACCTCTCATCTACACATAAGAGGTGATTAAAAGCCCAAACTTTCATAAATAAAAGCTCAACCGAGTTAACGTTAGCTTAACTTACCTCTTCTAAAAACGGTTGAGATGCTAACGGACTTTTTCCGAAGACACTAAACCATGTCTATAAAGTAAATATTCAACAGAAGCGTGTCAATTACAAGTAAGGGAAATGTCAAAAACAGTTGTGTGTATTATTCGTGTGCTTTTAGAGACTATTCTCACCTGAAAGCAGTGAAAACAACAGCGAGAGAGGGAGTTTTGCTGTTTGCCAGTAGCAGTGGTCCGGTCCCGCGCCGTTTCCATGGCAACTCTGCGCCGCGGGCGCGGCCGCTCCAGTGTTTGAGAGCGAATCGAAAATTCACGCGCACGGCCATTGATTAAACCACGTCAAAATCATGCAGCACTTAAATTAAATTATGAATTTAAAACTGATTTTGGAGATATATGACTAGTTCATAGGTGCAATGGCCTATGCCCACACATAATACTGCGGTCACAAGAATAATACAAATAAAATAAAAACTTTTGATTATTATTTATTTATTATTTGATTATTCGCATTATTTATTCTTTAGTTATTTTTTCTAAAGTATAGGCCTACTCCTGGTAAGTGTTAATTGCTTTTACCACGGGCTTAAAGTAAAAAGTTGTCTGTGAAAAATAGTTTAATTTAATTGATGGTGAGATTACTATATTTTCATGTCAATCTGTGTTCATTTTGACCACGAACCATGCGCTGTCACTTAATTCATCGCGTGCAGCCATTCATCCCTTTAAAAACGAACGATAAATAGTGCTGAACATGTCTGAGACGGAGAGTTTTGAATTGTGCAGCGCAGCCTATAGCTCTATAGGCCTATGTCTAAAATGACCAGCCATTTCTCATATTTTTTATCACATAATTTATCAAAATGGTTAATTATAAAATAAATTGTGTTGTTTGAATGCTTGAGATGGACCCGCGCAAACGCGACATCGGCCTCCCGTATAGTGGGCCGACTCAAAGCCGACGTAACGGAGCTTGTTAGAGCACTGACAGACAGGAGATCTGCCTATGCCTGGCCGACGCCTCTGCGATGTTATAGGGAGGGAGGCCGACGCTCGATGTGGGGCCGACGTTGGTCAGACGTACGTGTGCTATCTGGGTTTGTATTTTAACTCAGGAGAGGAGTTAGCTAGTTGTGCTGTGCATGAGTAGGCTAAAGTGCACGAGAAATGTGATCGTTATGATTAACGTTACCATGCAGGGGAAACACATTGGATTATACATTATTTTTATTTAATATAAATGCACAACATTTTTATATACATTTTATATGGAAGTTTTTTGATTTATATTAATTTACATTCAAAGTTGCAACAATACGGTATTATTTCAATTTGAATGTATGATAACGTTTTGTTAATAAAAGTACATATGGATTTATAATATACCGGTAAGCATATTTTATATTAAACTATGGTGTTTAATGTTTATTTGTTTACACCATTGTCCATCTGCGCGACTCTGATGTCGTCTGTATTTGATGACGTCACAGCCCGGCGTTGCAAATAAAGTACGCATATTGTCAAATGTTTGCAAAATATTATAGCCTATATTAATACTTAAATGCAGATTACTTAAATATTTATTTAAGTACTTAATTGTAGCCCAGCTACGTTAGATGCACATTCTTTAATTTCTAATAATGAAAAAAGCAACAACAGTCCTTCAGACAATGTAGCCTACCATAAGCTTTTCTTTCCACAATAGACAGCAACCTGTGACCTGTGCATGCCTTTTTAAAATTATGTAACTGTCTGCTGCACCCTCTATGGCTGCACCGCACACTCCTGTTCTCTCCTGCACATTCAATGAAATCTGTCCATTGATTGTGTGTTCATTATTTCTCTCTGCAGGGGGAGGCCTGGGGAGAGGAGTGGATCTCAGGTCTCCTACACTCTCGCTGCTGTGAACCTCAGCTGTATATTGGATAAAAGCTTTATTGATTCTTGGAGCTGTGTAGAGATTTTCCATGTGTTTTTCTGATTTATGTTCACTTTCAGAATGTCCAGTTATTGGGATACATTTTTGTTTTTACTCTATATTAAAATGTATTTTAAAATGAAAGGTAATGACTAATGAGACAAGATAACTAATTTGAGACTTGAGTCAATTCATGTACCTCTCAATTGCAGTACACTTCAATGTCCACTCTGTGGCAGTCTGTGGATATTCCTTTTAGCTATGCTCACAGGAAAAAGGAAAAACATGGATTTTCATATATTTCAATTTATATGTTGACAAATACATCTTAAAATGATGTGCAACCGTTATCATATGTCAAACAGCATTGTAGCTATAAATATGTGTGCTTTTATTTTCTTCACTTTACTCAGGTCTACAAAGAGCTAGCGGCTGTCACTGACAAAACAACTTTTGACTCATGCATCTGGCTAATGCATTGCATATTCATTATATTCTTTGTTGCAGAGTCCAAATCTAAAGCCACCTGTCTGGTGGGTTATTTTGAGTCATTAAAAACCTTGATTATGAATAAATTTGTTTAGTTTTGTTTTGTTTGTTTGTGTTTTCACAGAGGAGAACGAGAACAGGGTGCATGCTGAAGAGAAGTGGCCATTTGAGAACAGTGAAAATGTGCCCTTCTGCAACTCTGTGTCCAAGCACAAACAAGCTGAAGAAGATGAAATCGTCATTGTCCCACATGTCTCTCCTGACCATGACCTCACTGTGAGTATTAGTTTTATTTTTGACAGATTTGTAGTGAACCGTTATTGTGTATTATTTTATACATTGATGTATATATGTCTCACAAAAAAACAGTATTAAGAAAAAAACTACATTATATATTTTCATGTGATGTAAAACTGTATATTTATTATTATTATTAGGTCTATCGTGCTAAAGAATCTCTATTTACATTGTTTTTTCTTCCTTGTGGATTACTGTAGTAAAAACATACCTGTGACGGTGTCAGGAGGCCTAGTCTCTACAAACAAAACCATAGGTGACAAAACAAGGATGTAGGTGGGGTTAACAGGTTAATCGTGGTGATTAATGTGATGTTATCCAGTGTTAAGTGGACAGAAGGAGATATCCAGCTTTACAGAAGCAGGATAGACTGTCTTGTCTGGACAGTTACTCTTACTGGAGTTTTGTGTGCTCTTCTGGGTGTGGTACTGAGATGCTACTTCTTCCTCATGGATGACTGAGAGCGGGACCAGAAATCCTGTCATGTGGCAGAAAATAAATGGGTGGAGCACTCTTTGCCTATATGCGTCTCTCAGGATTTAATGTTTTGCCGTATGCGCTTTTGTTGCGAATTGTGGATTAAGAGCAAGTACAAAATCTTACATGGAAAAGAAAGAAGAGGCTAAATAAAAGTAAAGGCTGGATAAAGGGAGCAAGCTGCATGCTGGCACTATTTTGGAAGGTCGTTGCGGAATGTTTTTTTTTCCATTTCTTCAGCTCTCCTTTAATGAGAGCCTGAGAACAGCATCTCTGGTCTTTAATGCATATTTTCCTGGCATCCATGATTCTGGAAACTTCATGTAAGGACAACATGTTACGAAAAATAAAGACACATTAGACTTTAACCGAACTCAAATTATTTTAGTAAAACAGTTTTTCATACCAGTAGAAGACTAATAAATGGAACTCATACTGAGTATAGTAGGAATAAATTCATATTCATAATTTGTCAATGGTTGTTCAGCACAAGGGCTTGACATTCAGGGATGGGTGAATGGACTTGGGAAGACTATTGGAAAGAACCTGGATTTTCTTCTTCTTCTTCTTTTTACTGCATAGACCTATCAGTTTTACCTATATTTGAATTTTGACTTTGTTTTTGGTTTTAATCACTTGTGGAATATTCTTGTTTGAATACAGACTACATTTGATCTGAAAGAGACTGTGAACCATACTGGAAGGAAATGGAGAGTAAGCCCATCAATAAATTTTTTGACAAATTAGCACACTTTTTTAATCACCATGAAAAACATGAACTCCAAACACTGACTGAGGACAGTCCAGATTTGACTTCTTTTTGCTTGTTGACTAAGGAAAGAGAGGTTAATGGTTTACAAAAAGTTGTTCAAAGGCAGGATGGTTTTGATGATCAAGGGGAGGATTTTGCTATAATTGTTACGATTTTACATACAAACCCTGAGGAAGACAGGACAAAGGACCATGTCAACAGATCGGAGTATCAGAATGTTAATGAAATAGATCTTTCTTCAGAAAAGGAGGAAGTAGACTTAGACCTCAATGTTATGCACCAGAGAGATAATTACCATAAAACATCAGTTGTGCGCCATACTGTCCAGGATGTAACAGATGGTCAAGCTGACACACCGTCTAAATCACTTAGCAAAGTCTCAGCCAGTGGCAGTGCTAACAGACTGGACAAACAACTTGAGGATCCAGTAATCGGTACAGTAGATAATAAAGAACCTGTTTTCAGAGAAGGACACAGACTCAATCAGGACATATCTGCAAATGAGACAGTTGTTATGGAATCAGATAACTCCAGCAATGAGGAGCTGTTTGCTGAGGAAGAACCATTGAAAGAGAGAGTCCTCACAGACAATCAAAGCAGAAATGATATTTTAATAAAAGAGTCTTTGAATTCATCCACAAATAGCAATAACGGAATTTCAGTGCAAAGTCACCGGGAAGTATCTGCTCCTGAGAGCAAAATAGAGTCTGGTGGAAATCTTCCAAACACTGCAGATGTTCCAGAGGTAACCAAATCTGGTGTAAATGAACAAACTCTGACTAACCACAAGGCATCTGCAAACATGGACGTTCAGACAACATTAGCACATTGTGAAGTTCATAATCTCACTGATAAAAAGGTTCTTTCATCAAACTCACCTGTGAACACCAGAACTGTGGTCATCACCCTTACACGTGTTGAAGCTCTTTCTGCTGGACCGTGTGTTGATACTGAAGAGATCCAACTGAGAGATGAGACTGCAGGTAGCCAAGCTATATGCAATGAAAGCAGCGCAAGTTCAGACAGCATTTTTGTGCACGTCCATCCACCAACCACAAGCCAGGAGAACCAAATTAGACATTTTGAGGCTGGAGGTGTGATTTTAACATGTTCTGACCTCTGTGACACTGAAGAACACAGTTCCAGTTCGTCTGAGCTAGATAATAAGACTAATTCAGAAACAGAACCGGTGCCTTCAGTCATCCAGGTGGAGACAAAAATGCATACAGAGGGAGAAATGAATAAAGAGAGTGCGGAAGAAATAATACAAGAAGACACCATGTTAGATACAGATTCATCTTCCACTGAGAAGACCACGAAAGACCAAACCATACTCTCCCCAACTGCAGTAAAAGAGAAACCGCTCCAACTGTCGTCCCTCTTCACTGGGCTGCTCAGCCCCAAGAAAGAAGCACTTGAGGAAAATGAAACTACAGAGCAGCCCCAAAGCCCTACCAAACGAGGACTTTTTACCGATCAGTCTAAGAAAGAAGTCAAGGGAGACTTCCTGGAACAGCTTACCCAATTCCTCAGCAAGGGGGAAGGGAAGAGAAAGCAAGAGAGCATGTCAAGCCCCCCACTGTCTCCAATCGGTCAGGACCCTGCTGAAAAGCCAGAGAGTACTGTAGAGGAGCCGGTCATTCCCCAGTCTGAGGAAACCAACAAATCTACAAATGCAGAGACGGCCTTAGGTGCATTGAAGGCTTTCTTCACAGTTAAATCTGCCAAAAAAGACACTTCAAATCGCATGGACCTGGACATTGTAAAGAAGAAGATCAACAGGGACAAAGACGTCCTCAGAGCTTTCTTTGACAGGAACTCAAGCAAGTCTCCAGACAACAAAGAAACTAAAGTATGCAGTGAACAGATGATTGCATTTGTTGGTGACATCTCAGTATCAATGCATAAAGTTTATATAAAGAGCCTTCTTTTATGTACACCTAAAAAAAAGTTATTTTTTATTATTCATTCCTCTGCAGGGTCGTGGGGATGCTGCATCCTTATTTCATTTCATTTCTTTTTTTTTTTTCTTTTTTTTTTATTAGGTCCTTTAATTCAACAGATATTAACAGTACAATGCACATTAATTGTTGCTGTTTGGTGTCTTAGGCTGATGTGAGTGAGGAGCACACCCCAAAGCGACTTCAGACTGTCTGGCCTCCACCAAAACTGAAAAATGAGGAGGAGAAGATTGGTCTCAAATACACGGAAGCTGGTAAGGGCTTATTGTATAATTGAAGAAGAAAACAAGCAGTAAGTGTAAATGTTTGCTGTAATTCAAATATTTGCTTTTGTATAAAATGTAACAACACTGTCCAAATATATTCCACTACACCTCCACCCTAAATGTGTTCCTGAAGGGCAACTCTGCAGATGAAATAACTTACTTTGGATACAATGTCACATTGTTTGTTACTTGTAAGAAAATTAGTTTTCTCAGCAATGCAGTCATTAATCTTTTTGCATTGATCAAACTTATTGACCATCCATAACATTGCCCGTATTGCAGTATCTTGTAGATTTAAAGGGTGTGGAGTCCTCAAACACACCTAAGCACACATACTCAATGTGTGTTGTTGTCATATGTTTAAATATACTTGAGGAAATTGGTTTTTCCCATGGTTCTCTAGACAAGGCAGTGATCATCCCTATATAACAGTCCCACCACTGCCATCTATTGGAAAGTTTACATCTACAATATTTAATGGATATCCAATTCTTCATGTATTCAGTTTGGGGTCAGGAAGAAAAAAAGGACAAAAAAATATTACTTTTATTCAGTATGGATGCATTAAATTGATCAAAATTGATGACAGTAAGACATTTTTTTAATGAATACAAAAGATTGTAATATATAATAAATGCTGGGTTTTTTTTACTTTCTATTAATCAAAGAATCCTGAAAAAAATGTTTCACTGTTTCCATAAGAATATTAAGCAGCACAACTGTTTTCAAAATTGATAATAGAAATGTTTCTTAATCAACAAATCAACATATTAGAATGATTTCTGAAGAACCATGTGACACTGAAGACTGGAGTAATGATGCTGAAAATTCAGCTTTGCCAACACAGGAATATATTACATTATAAAATATATTAAAATAGAAAACAGTTATTTAAGATTGTAATAATATTACTGTTTTTACTATATTTATACAGGTGAGCATAAAAGGCTTTTTCCAAAGACATTAAAAAGTCTTGCTGATCTCAAATGTTTGAACAGTAGTACATTAGTATATTAGTTAGAGCACTATTTTATTGGATTTCTTGCACTATTCAATGCGTTTTGTGATATATTTAGCCATAATGATGTCCTTCTTTTATGTTCTCAGAGCATCAGGCTGCTCTTCTGCAACTAAAAAGAGAATGTAATGAAGAGGTGGAGAAGTTACAGGTGGGAAACTCAAGAACAGTATTTTACAACTGAAGGGATACAGTTTACTAATAGCATCACGAATTTAAAACCTCTCCCAGGAAAGGCGTGTTTCCAGAATCAGTGCTTTTACAAATGTATTGTACTATGCTGCTTATTGAATATAGTCACACTTAAGCCACACTTCTTCTATAGAAGTATCAAGCCAAATTACATTACATTTAAAGAAAGCAAGCAAAACCCACTTTTCAAGAAAAAACATTTCACAAAAAAGGTTTCAAGATTTCAAGATTGTGTCGTCTGCTAGGACACTACTGAATATGTTTACATTTGCTTTACATTATATTTATCCATTTAGCAGACACTTTTATCAAACGTTATACATTTTTTATTTACATTTTGTTGTTTGAACTCTTTAATACAGGCCGACTTCAAACTTGAGCTCTTCCGGTTAAAAGAGAAGAACGAAGAGGATCTGTCCAGACTAGCGGTAACCATTGCAAGCTTACAAAGGGAGAAAGACAAAGATCTTCACAGAAATCACAGAGATGTTGCTGTGTCCACTGACGACAACATCAAAACACGGGCTTTCCACTCTGTGTGCATTCAGACCGACAGAGAGACATTCATCAGGTCTGAGGAGGCCAAGGAAGCGCAGAGCAGGAGTCTTGACCCCCTGCTTAAAAATGCTGACCTCAACTCAACAAAAAACTTTACTGAAAGACAAAAGACAGTTCCTCCACCAGCTGCCTCACCTGTATCACCTCAGTTACAGATGGACAGAAACAAGATTCCACCTCCTCCTCCTCCACCTCTACCTGGTCCTTGTACTCCTAATGTACCTCCACTTCCTGCTCCGCCACTGGATAAGCCAGGAAGTTTGCCTCCTCCTCCTCCACCTCCACCTGGTCCTTACACTCCTAATGTACCTCCACTTCCTGCTCCGCCACTGGATAAGCCAGGAAGTTTGCCTCCTCCTCCTCCACCTCCACCTGGTCCTTACACTCCTAATGTACCTCCACTTCCTGCTCCGCCACTGGATAAGCCAGGAAGTTTGCCTCCTCCTCCTCCACCTCCACCTCCACCTGGTCCTTACACTCCTAATGTACCTCCACTTCCTGTTCCGCCACTGGATAAGCCAGGAAGTGTGCCTCCTCCTCCTCCACCTCCACCTGGTCCTTACACTCCTAATGTACCTCCACTTCCTGCTCCGCCACTGAATAAGCCAGGAAGTTTGCTTCCTCCTCCTCCTCCTCCTCCACCTCCACCTGGTTCTTACACTCCTAATGTACCTCCACTTCCTGCTCCGCCACTGGATAAGCCAGGAAGTGTGCCTCCTCCTCCTCCTCCTCCTCCACCTGGTCCTTGTACTCCTAATGTACCTCCACTTCCTGCTCCACCACTGGATAAGCCAGGAAGTGTGCTTCCTCCTCCTCCTCCTCCACCTGGTCCTTGTACTCCTAATGTACCTCCACTTCCTGCTCCACCACTGGATAAGCCAGGAAGTGTGCTTCCTCCTCCTCCTCCTCCTCCACCTCCACCTGGTCCTTGTGCTCCTAATGCACCTCCACTTCCTGCTCCGCCCCTGGATAAGTCAGGAAGTGTGCCTCCTCCTCCACCTCCACCTCCACCTGGTCCTTGTGCTCCTAATGCACCTCCACTTCCTGCTCCGCCCCTGGATAACCCAGGAAGTGTGCCTCCTCCTCCTCCACCTCCACCTCCACCAATGACAGGATGTGGTCTTCCACCGTTACCACCCGTCCTCCACTCGATCTCTAATCCCCCTCATGGAGTTGGTACCTTCCTCGGTACAGCAGCAGACAATCCTCCTCGCAAACGTTTAGTGGAGCCAGTCTGTCCAATGAAATCGCTCTACTGGACACGAATACAGATTCAAGATAACAGGTATCTCTCATCACTTTACATCATGTTTTAATTGACATGGGGCAATGACATGATGCTCATTTGTTTAATTGTATCATTTCTTTTATTGTTTAATTTCTGGGTTATTTTTATGGGGAATAGTAAAAAAGGCTAGTAATGAAGAAAAAACTCAATAAAAAAAAAAAAAAATGCTTATAATGAAGAAAAAACTCAATAATAATAAAAAAAAAATAATGTCATCTAAAAAAGAAAATATTTTATCATATCTGCTTCACTACAGCGTGTTGTGTGAGTGTGACCAAAAAAACCCCCATAAAACAGGAAAATGTATTTTATAAAAGGCCCCTCATGACTGACTGTGTGAATGTCAATAAATATCAGATAAGTATTTAAAGTCTGATTGATTGATTGATTGATTTAAGATATAATGATAAAGGGTTTAGCCACTGACACAATCTGTGTCTTTTTAGTATTATTTATAAAGTATTATAGTATTTATTAATATTGTGAAACAGCTTATATTTAAAATTTTAAGTACTTTTGTTTAGTGCTTTTGACGTTTTTATTAGATCATTTTAGACAACAATAACAACATTGAACACAATTAACTTTTACAAATAGATAAAAAGTACTTTAAACTAAAAATAAACATCATCCCACTCTACCTGTATTCAACCATAGACCTATAAACAACATTTCCATTGTTCCTCAATCAAAAGTTTCCTCAAACACGCAATGTATGTCCACTAGTGACGCTGACATTTTCAACTCTCCCTCGTCAGACCTCATGGGAAGTTTAAGACAGACCACTGCAGACATTTGTCTGCATGAGGGGCCAGCCACAGGCTGAGCTGCAGTCTTTCCAGGACCTCTAGTGGCGGTGTGGATTTCTGTGGGATTCGGCTCCCCGGCCACCTCTGTGCTGTTGCAATGTTATTTGACTCCTCATGAAAGCTTTCTGCTCTCTTCGTGAGCATTTTGTCAAGCCAAAGCTAAGCTTAGCTGTGCGCCGTCGTCCTGGCTCCTTAATTATTTTTATGGGAGAGAAAATTTAGCATGTCAGATTACTCACATGCTGCTCCTGTTGATTTTCCTTTTCCTGCTTTCAGCCAAGGTTGCTCAGCAACAGTAAATAACTCACTTTACTCGTGTAACGTGGTTTTTACAGATGCTAGTATTAGGAAATGCTTTGGTTGGTGGCCTGTATGTCTTTGAAGTGTGAAGATTCAATCACAATAAGCCTTAGACTGAGCAGAAACTGTTGTAAATGCAAAATATCTATAAAAAAAAAAATCTCATCATCTCTCTGTCTTTTTTTAGGAGCGATATGCTGTGGAGTTCCCTGGAAGAGCCACAGATAATAAACACCAATGATTTTGCGGAACTGTTTGCTAAAGCCACATCGCCCACCAAAAGAAAGCCCCTATCCGAAGCCTATGAGAAGAAAACCAAAGCCAGGAAGGTACCGCTCTGCCCTGAAGATAGGAAAAAAATGATATAACATAGAGAGGATCTTATTCTGAATGGCAGTCCCATTCATTTTTGCTTTTTTTTGCCTTTTTATATCTATATAGCAAATGCAGTTTTTATAGCAAATGTGAGGTTGTGGGTTTGATTCAGCTAATTTAAAAAAAAAAATCTGCAAATTGCTTTGGATAAAAGCATCTGCTAAAATGCATAAATGTTATGCACTGCTTGGCAAGTTCAGAAAGTTCAGATTTGAGACGTGTCCACTAGGTGGAGCAGTTGTCAGCACTTTCGAATTATATACATAACTGGAACTGATGCATTCATCCATTCACCTCTGCTAATTACTTTTCTTAAACAGAAACATCATTTGTCAGGTGCAGTCACTTTAAACTTTAAAATCCATTAATTTGATACAAATGCTTGTGAGTAATATCAGGATCCCACAAATGCCTCTACAATTGCCTTTGAAATTGATATAATTGTATAGGAAATAAATGAACCTGTGCTTGAAATGTGATCATGCCATTGTTACCTTTGGGAGGCGGGTTTTATAATGGAGGTTTGGAATTTCCCAAAGGTTCTTTTGTTATTTATTCGTTCCACTTTTGCGTAATACAAGCATGAGTCCTCAAGACATTGTATTCATATGGTATTGTAAGCAGAAGGCACTTATCTTATGATCAGAGTCATTTACAAGTGTGGGTTGTCTTGTGAATGTGGACTTTTTTTGATTGATGAACTTTTTTAGGTAATTAAATTACTGGATGGCAAGCGCTCTCAGGCTGTGGGCATCTTAATCTCAAGTCTCCACCTGGAGATGAAGGACATCCAGCAAGGTAAATCACACTGAACAGACTCATATATGCCGAGAAATACTCAACCACCAGCTCGTTTTTTTTATTCTGTCCAGACTAATTTTGCCTCCACTAATAATAAACAGACATGTTAAAATGATACATATTTGTGTGGCCTGGTTAGAAAAGGCAAGCTAAGACATGATGTTGAAATAATTCTGTATATAAAGACATATCTTGCAACAATGTGATTGGCTCCAGCTCTTATCAAGGATAAATTGGCTGTATGTTTGTTAAATAAACTTGTCTTGTGGTTTACCACTAGAAATAATCTTTTGCATGTATAGCTATCAGCCCCACTTACCAAACATATACTTTTCACATTGACCATCCTGAATTCATCACAGCTTGCCTTAACATAGTCAGACAGGCAGATTTTTTTTTGATGATTTTAGTCAATTGAGCGAATTCAAAGTATATGTTTGGTAAGTGGGGCTGGTGGGGGTTTGGTTACAGGGGGGGGAAAACTCTCAAATACATATTTAGACTTTTACATTCACATATCACATCCATGACACGTATGTCCAATAACTAATCAGTCTTCTTGTCTAGAGACTAATACTTCTTCGTTTCACAGCTGTTTTGAATCTGGACAATTCTGTGGTTGACTTGGATGCTATCGAAGCCCTGTATGAAAATGTAAGTATCCTGCCACATTGGAAACGGACTTATGTACAGGCCCACACTAAATCATAGCCTCCAAAGCAGTAGAACTACACAAGTCCTTCACATTCGCACCCCTTGCATGTTTTCTCCTTTTCAATTAGTAAAAATTGAGGTTGAGTATAAGTGTATGATGCCAGTTTTTAGAGGAGTGAGAAATATGGATACTATAATTGTTTATAAAGCACTTATGTTAATTATTCTATTAAACTATTGTATTATGTGAGCTGTAAAACTATTTAAATCATAATTTGTAGTCACTTTAGGGATTATGGTATTTGTCATGGTGACAAAGTTGTAAAACTGGATGTAACTTTACACAGAAAAGGGTAATAAAATCATGGTAACACTCATTTTGTTTACATTTTGTGGCATTACTATAATAGTTAATACTGAATATACTGAAAAATACTGAAATAGTGAGTATTTAATGTTTAAAGATTGGCCCCATTAACTTCCATTGTAAGTGTTTCACTGCAACTCAGAGATGAGTGAAAATTAATTTTGTTGTAATCAAGGAATAGGGATATTCCTTTAAAAAAAATGATGATACTTTCAGAGACCAATAAGATTTATTTTACTGTATTTAAGTTCATTCTACACACATTTGTCCCCAAAATCACTTCAGAAAATGCACATAAAGTCTTCAGATTCTGTATCACCCTTCTTGTCTCTCTAGTTCCAGTTCCAACATAACTAAATAATAGATAGTTCCAGTGTGATTTCATAAGTTTATGTGTGTATCATTGGTCAGTTTTCATATGAATGCGTCTGTTCTGTTTCTCCCAGAGAGCTCAGCCTGAGGAGTTAGAGAAGATTAAGAAACACTATGAAACCTCAGACGAGGAGCAGGTCAAACTACTGGACAAGCCTGAACAGTGAGATATTCCAGAAACACACCAGATAACTCACTTTTTTATGCAACTAGTGATACATCAATTGTCCCTCACAAGGGCACTTTCTGTATGCTCTTGGCAATGTATACTTCTCTAAAGTTCCTTCATTTGAAAACAAACAAAGAAAAAGTAGTGTTTTCAACACTACGCACTTTAGGTTGACAGATGTTCATTGCTTTTCCTTGACAGATTCCTGTATGAACTCTCCCAGGTCCCTGAGTTCTCCAGTCGAGTTCACTGTTTAATTTTTCAGTCGAAGTTCACTGACGCGGTTGCCTCCATACAGCGCAAGACCGAGATTATTCTACACGTCTGCAAGGTACAAAGGCATTTTCAAAGAGGTCAGACCTGAGATATTATCAAACATTTGATTTGATCGACGCTGGCATTCTTAAGAGCAAAAAACAGCCCTTCAGGCAGCTGCGGTTTATTCAAGAGAGGTCTAAGTGCTTGCTTTGTCTCTAACATCTCCATGTGATAAATGCACAAATAAATGTTGATGTGTCTTTTGTGTTTTAGTGTCTTTTGGAGAAAGTTAGTGTGAGGCAGGTGATGGGACTGGTGCTTGCTCTGGGAAACTACATGAATGGTGGGAGCAGAGCTAGAGGACAGGCCGATGGCTTTGGGCTTGAGATTCTTCCCAAGCTTAAGGATGTCAAGAGCAGGGTAAATATTTCCTACATTTGCCACTGTGAAAACACTATAACCTCACACACTGAGGTGTTTGATAGAGCCCGATAGAGCACGATTTGTTCTTTTTGTTTGCTGGCAGTTTGTACAGAATGACATAAGTGTTTGACATAATTCTCTATAAATCTACAGGAAAATCACATTAGTCTGTTGGACTACATTGTTTCCTACTATCTGCGTCACTTTGATGAGGTAAAACATGAACATGTAACCTTTCACATGCAGTTTGTTTATTTTGCACACTGCAGATCTTCATCTGTTCACATTGTTTTCAGTCAGTGACATGACTCATTTTTCATCCTATCTATTAATTTATGGAGTGATACATGACAAATGCAATTTATACAATGTCTTCAATAAACCTTTTCTATTATAAACGCATTTTTAATTTCTATATTGAAATTAATTTTGATAGGTGGCAGAAACAAAAAAGATGTCAAGGTGCTATCATAGTAAAAAAAAAATGTTTTTAACAAAATTGCTTCACGGTGTATTAAATGTAAACTTTTATTGTAAAGACATTTATAATGTTACAAAAGATTTCTATTTCAAATGAACACTGTTCTTTTGAACATTGTATTCATCCTGAAAAAAATGTATCACGGTTTGCCCAAGCTTATTAGATTGATTTCTGAAGGATCATGTGACATTGAAGACTGGTTTATGTCTGCTGAAAAAAATCACAGGAACAAATTACATTTTAAAATAAATTAAGTTAGAAAACAAATGTTTTAAATTGTAATAATATTTAACAATATTAGTGTTTTCACTGTATTTTTGATCAAATAAATGTAGGTGAGCATAAGAGACTTCTTTCAAAAACATTACAAAATCTTTCCAACCACAAATATTTCTAAGAACATGTGTTTTAATCTAGATCTTTAAGTCTTTCTTGGCCGTGGATACTCATATGTTTCACTGATCCTTCAATCTCTCTCCAGAACGCTGGGACAGAAAAGAGCATCTTTCCTTTGCCTGAACCTCAAGATGTTTTCCTTTCTTCTCAAGTGAAGTTCGATGACCTCTCAAAGGATCTCAGGAAGATGAACAGAGACTTGACAGGTAAGAATTACCAAAAACACTCTCAAGGTCTTCAGAAACGATTTTAGCGTGCCACTGATTTACTATAGCATCAAAAGAAGCAAGATTACATAGGTGGGATGAATGTCTGCAATCCTGCAACATGGCTCCAGCTGAATCCTGAGGACTTTACAGCATCTGTTAGCAACAACTCATTATTAAACCACATTAGATCAGGTGGAATATACAGACGTGTTTGCCTATGTATATATGTGCACGCACAGATGCAGAGACGAAGTGAAGTCTGTGTGATTTTGCCATGGCGCCTTTTAGATATGACTTTAATCCTGCCCATCAGATGCTCTGGCATTGTGTGATTCTTTAGCTCCGTCGCAGGGGCCAAAGGCTACAGTGCTTTGGCGCTTATGTAATCTGAGAGAAGAGCAGCTTATCGCTGGCGGGATGGGCTTTATCTGCGCAGAGATGCACTGCCATTCTCCTGCTACACTGTATCAGTCCGTGTTCAGTGTGGCCCCGCAGATGTGTGTCAGAGATTCTTTTCTTTACCTCTCAACAAGCCTTTCTTATCGGGCGACGGAGAGACTGCCAAATCTGGCCCATCGCGCTCTCCCTTTTTTGTCCTCCTGTTTGAACTCCCCTCATGACTGAGAGAGAATCATGTCTTTGTTTTTTATGCTGTGTTTGTTCGATTTTTTCGAATTACTTACAGCCCCACTGAGGTTTTGGCTGTTCAAGGTGACCGCATTTGTCTGCGATGTAATTTTGCGGAGCAAAAAAGTGCTGCACTAATCAAATTAGTCACTGTGTGCCTGCACAAAAAGGGAATGTCCCTGTGATTTTATTTTCCAGAGACAATGATGACAACATTGTGAAGCACATCTAATGCGTGGAGACTCCACAGCTGATTCAGCTGGCTTGCGTTTGAGACATCTTTTTGATCTCTTTGAGATCATTGTGGCAGTGGTTTGGCTCGCCGAGGTCCACAGTTGAGAAAACCTGAATGTTGCTGTGAGCCGCCTTGGTGGACACACTATTTGAGGATCTTATCAATTTAAACTATAATTGATATTTTGCGTGGAAATGCTGCGGAAAAGATTCCCAACCGTTTCTTCATTTCCAGCTGTGTTCACAGTTTATACAAATGCTCAATGAAAACAGTAGTATGTGTAGCCTTATCCGGGGTGAGATGCAGATGGAGCGTATCCAACAGTCCCGGGTTCCCATCAGGGTGTATTATGACTGAGGCAGGAGACTGGCTCCTCTGATCCCCTGATTGGACGTTGAACAAACAGTGCTGTGTAGGTCCACGGGTGATACATTGACTATCTGAGGATGTGATCAGAGGTGCATCAAAACAGATTTTAGAGAAAAAGACATTTGATAACCTCTGACTCAGTCACAGGTGGAGCTTTAGCTCTATGGTGTTTTCTTGACAATAGGTTATGAACAAGTGCAAACCAAAAGGGTTTAAAGAGACAGTTTTCCCAAAAGAAGAAAAGAAAAGGTAATTATTTATTCACCCTCATTAAATTTCAAACCTGTATGATTTTCTTTCTTCTGTGGAACAGAAAAGAAGATATTTTGAGAAATGTCATCATACAATGAAATTCATTGGGGTCCTGTTTTGGACCTCATTGACTTTCATTGTTGGAGCAGTTGTATGTATATTATACAGTTATTACAAAATCCAACATACAAAGAAGGCTGACGCTCAGCTTGTTTATAGGCTTTGGAAGTTCCCCCATTACTGTAACCATTGTTTTTACAGATGTGATCGACATAATTCACTGCAACGATGCCATAATTAAGGCACTAACAGCATTTGCTTCATCAGCAGAAAGTGCTTTCATTCTATGTGCAAGTAATCAGTAATGCGCTAATGGCTTTGACCGCAGTAGCTGTTGTTTTAGATGACTTGATAAACCAACTTAAGCTAAAATTGTGAATGATTGTTGGACTTCTGGTAAAAAAGCAGTTGGGGCCTACTCAGAATGTGAGCGGAGGGATAAACATGGCCACATACATTCTACTTAGTACATTATATTAAGTAAATATGTTTTGTTAGTTTCACCAATGATATATTTTGAAATACTGTATATGTTTTTTATGGCATAAGTCTCTTATGCCATCCAAATCTGCATTTATTTAACCAAAAATACAGTACAAACAGTAATATTGTGAGATATTATTACAATTTAAAAATAACGTATTTTTTTCCTGTGATGGCAAAGCTGAATTTTTAGCATCATTATTCCAGTCTTCAGTGTCACATGATCCTTCAGAAATCATTCTAATAAGCTGATTTGCTACTTAAGAAACATTTCTTACTATTATCAGTGTTGAAAGCAGTTGTGCTGGTGAGTATCTTTTGTAGATGAATATTTGGGGAATAGAAAGTTAAAAAGTTGTGTAACATTATAAATGTCTTTACTGTGACCTTCATGTTACGGGTGTGCACGGAGATGAACCCAAACATAGACAGTGTACAATGAACTCAGGGTTTATTGGGACAAAACAGGAAAACAAAACCCACGAGGGGGGGAAAACAGACGAAACAAGGGATATAAGACTGGCAAGACTAGACAAGATAATGACTGAACAAGAAACAAACACTTTGTACAATACTAACAATGACTACTAACTACGATTTTCAATGACAAGACTTTCCACAGAATACTCACAGGTAACATTTGGCAATGAACCGACACAAGACAGCAAACACAAGGGGATTAAATAAGGAGACTAATCAAGACATAACAGGTGACACTGGTAAAGCAATAATGACTGAATCAGGATAACAAGGGGGCGGGTTTAAGAGACGAGACAACACAAGCACATGACCAAAACACAAGGCCATGTGCTTGCACACAGAACATGGGTCTATCATGATCCTGCCGCAATATTAAGAGAATCACGGACATGGCAGAATCATGACAGAACCTCCTCCTTAAGGAACGGCTACCAGACGCTCCCCAAGGAGACAAACACGGGACAAGACTGACTGAGACGTAGACAAGACCCAACAAAACATGACAAATAACAAGGGCATACAAGAGTAAACAATGACAGGGTTGGGGTGGAACATCAAAAATAATAAACTAGGAAGGGGAGGCGGAGGGACAACAAAGTCTTTGAGCGAGGGTCCAGGGTGGGTAGGCGGGACGGTGATCTTGGGACTACGGGGTGTGGGCTTAGGACTTGGGTGGAGTGGTGTGAGGTAGAGGGAGAAACAGTCCTGGGTTGAGCCATGACGGGGGAAACAAACGGGAGTCCGGGGGCAGTGGAGACAGCAGCAGCGGGAGACGAAACGGAGACACGGGAACTGACAGGGGAAGAGGAAGCAGGAACGGGAACAGAGTTACTTGAAGAGTCAAGGCTTCCCCAAGAAGAGGCGAGACTCATCACCTCCGACTCTGCAGCGCTCTCGGCGACAGGCGTGGGTGCAGCGCTCTCGGCGACAGGCGTGGGTGCAGCGCTCTCGGCGACAGGCGTGGGTGCAGCGCTCTCGGCGACAGGCGTGGGTGCAGCGCTCTCGGCGACAGGCGTGGGTGCAGCGCTCTCGGCGACAGGCGTGGGTGCAGCGCTCTCGGCGACAGGCGTGGGTGCAGCGCTCTCGGCGACAGGCGTGGGTGCAGCGCTCTCGGCGACAGGCGTGGGTGCAGCGCTCTCGGCGACAGGCGTGGGTGCAGCGCTCTCGGCGACAGGCGTGGGTGCAGCGCTCTCGGCGACAGGCGTGGGTGCAGCGCTCTCGGCGACAGGCGTGGGTGCAGCGCTCTCGGCGACAGGCGTGGGTGCAGCGCGCTCGGCGACAGGCGTGGGTGCAGCGCGCTCGGCGACAGGCGTGGGTGCAGCGCGCTCGGCGACAGGCGTGGGTGCAGCGCGCTCGGCGACAGGCGTGGGTGCAGCGCGCTCGGCGACAGGCGTGGGTGCAGCGCGCTCGGCGACAGGCGTGGGTGCAGCGCGCTCGGCGACAGGCGTGGGTGCAGCGCGCTCGGCGACAGGCGTGGGTGCAGCGCTCTCGGCGACAGGCGTGGGTGCAGCGCTCTCGGCGGCGGATACTGGCACTAAGGGCGAGACAGGACGGACAGGGACATCAAGGATCTTGATGAGACGAGACAAGTATTCTGACACGGTTTTTGCAGCAATCATGACCGGCATCTCTTGCTTCGCTGAAACTGAGCGTACCACAGCTGAATCGGCCGCTTCCCTCTCTCCAGCACTCATGGCTGTAGGCTTAGGAGTAGCCCTTACTGCTGCGGACTCTGGAGCCGCGCCCGCAGCCACCGATTTCGGAACGGTACCTTCGGCTGTAGCGGGCTCTGGGACAGTGCCAGCAGTAACGGGCTCTGGGAAAGTGCTTACAGTAGTGGACTCTGGGGCAGCGCTTACAGAAGCGGGCTCTGGGACAGCGCTTGCAGACACAGGGGACGAAAACAGACCAGAGACTCCCCTCCTCTTCTTAGGTCGGGGAGACCTAAGCTGGGCTCGTGGCCGGTTGGGGAAGCTCCACAGGAACCGTAACTGGTCCAGGAAGGGCAGTCTCAGACAGAGCTGACTCCGCAGCGGAGGACTCCGAAGCGGACTCCCACGAGACACGTCTTCCCCGTTTGCCTCAGATACTCGTGGGCGGAGATGATGTCTCAGGAACTGAAGCGGTGTGGGCCTGGTCCCCAGGTGTGACCACAGCTAGTACACGACCCTCCGGGATCACGGGCAGCTTGGCGGATTATGAGCTCGTGGGTGTCTGTGACTCTCTCCGAGACAAGCAATCCACCAAATCAGTGAACGGATAGGTCACCAGCTCCTCCCGTTTAGCCAGGGGTGGAAGAGAGTTGAGACCTGCAACGAGGTAGCAGTTTAGGAGGAACTCCGGGATGAAAAACCCCCTCTCGTTCGCAACCCGAGCATACTCCCTTATCGATAGCCGTCCCTGAGCGGGAATCGGGAGTTTGCCTCTCCGCGAGTCAGCGATGGTCTTGAACCACCAATCCTTAAGTTCATCGGAGTCATGCTTGACAAGGGAGGACATACCGTCTGCTGGGTTCGATGTTGGTCGGTTCATTCTGTTACGGGTGTGCACGGAGATGAACCCAAACATAGACAGTGTACAATGAACTCAGGGTTTATTGGGACAAAACAGGAAAACAAAACCCACGAGGGGGCAAAACAGACGAAACAAGGGATATAAGACTGGCAAGACTAGACTAGATAATGACTGAACAAGAAACAAACAACACTTTGTATAATACTCACAATGACTACTAACTACGACTTTCAATGACAAGACTTTCCACAGAACACTCACAGGTAACATTTGGCAATGAACCGACACAAGACAGCAAACACAAGGGGATTAAATAAGGAGACTAATCAAGACATAACAGGTGACACGGGTAAAGCAATAATGACTGAATCAGGATAACAAGGGGGCGGGTTTAAGAGACGAGACAACACAAGCACATGACCAAAACACAAGGCCATGTGCTTGCACACAGAACATGGGTCTGTCATGATCCTGCCGCAATACAAAGAGAATCACGGACATGGCAGAATCATGACACTTCAATTTAATGCATCCTTGCTGAGTAAAAGTACTGATTTCTTTCAAGTGTCACCAATAATGCCCAAATCACTTATCTTTATCATCTTAATCAACATTATCTACTTGTCAAATAACATAATGGTTAAATATTAGTATATAAGCTTATTAGTAATGTGATTAGAAAGAGCTTCACTATATTTGCACTTTTGTAGTTGTGTGCTTCTTGGCTTTTTTTTTTCAAGATCTGGGTTATTGGAATAAAAAGTAAGCGCTCATGGTGGTCTAACAAAAAAAAACCCTGTTTAGTTTAGGATAAAATATTGCGTTAAAGTTAGTGTAAACTTTGTTTTACAATGACTGGCTTCTGAAAATTGGACCTGGTCGGGGATTTTACTCTAACCCAATGTTATTACTTTTGTCTCGTACAGTTTGTGAAAAGGATGCTCTAACCGTGTGTACCAACTCGTCTCAAGAGCACATACATCCCTTCAAGGAGAAAATGGACTTTTTCATTGCCAACGGTGAGCTAAGCTATGCTATGATGCGTGAGATTACCCCACATTACCTTTAAGAAGAGGATTTTAAGTCTTCTAATTATGTGCTCCGTCACATCAGCCGATCCCTCTTGTCTTCCTTGTTCAGATATAAAGTCTAGTTGGTCTCTGAGACGACCTGCCTCTCTAGAAGATTGATGGAGAGGAGTACAAATGTTTGCTTAGATTGTACAGGATTGTTTTGTTTTGCAGATCGAGCCAGATATATGGAGATATAAACTGGATGAGACAATGCTAGTCAACTAGACAAATAAGATTAAGGGCCCTATCATACACCCGGCGCAATGCAGCGCCAGGCGCAACGCGAGTGTTTTATGCTAGTTTCAGCCCGACGCACTTATCATTTTTACGTCCTGCGCCCCGTTGTTTAAATAGCAAATGCATTTGCACCCATTTGTGCGCCCTTGGGCGTGCTGGTCTGAAAACGAGGTGTGATTGGGCGCATTGATGGCGCGTTGCTATTTTGAGGCAACTGAATTTTTTTTGTTATTTAAAGAGCGCGTTAGTAATGTGAGCCTATAGGAGGGTCCACAACGCTTATTAAACACAGAGGGACGTGCAGCAGCACACAAACATGCCAAATATTAAAAATAAAAGGATCACAATGAAATCTAGGGGCAACCCTTTTAGCCAACCATTTTTCCTGTCGTTAAACTATAGCAAAAGTGGATTCGGACACGGCCTAAGTGCACTTGCGCCTTATACTTTAGACCATGCGCTTAGATCGTTAAAATAGGGCCCTAATTCTGTATGTAGTTTATGTATATAGCAGCACGTTTAAAACAAAGCTTTTCCTTTCCTCACATTCTTCCTACTACAATTATTTGATTGTCTCCACTACACAGATAAGACAGCACACATCCTGCAGTCATGAAGAATATCTGCCATATGCCCTTTTGGGGACCTGATAAGTGTCTGTGACTGCCTACCTGTACAAGATTGCTGGTCAGGTTCAGAAGACAGATGCAGAGATAGGAATCAGAGAGACTTTGGCTATGAAGGAGACTTCTTAGTAAAGGAGAAACATCAGTTTTAACATTGTCTTTGAGGCCCTGGTAGAAAGGCTAGGAATTTGGGACGATAATGTTATTGGTAGCATAACAGACAAAGCAGTGCAGGAACAAGTTCTGCAAGGTTCTCTTAAAGTAATGAGCAAACATTCTTCCACTAACATGAATAGAATGTTCATTCAGAGTTATCTGGTCTAATATTCTTAAAATGTTAGCACAATAACATTTATACATCATTCATGGAACTTTTTTTTTCCTGAAACATTTTAGTTGGACGTTCTTCTAACATTTTGTAATTGTTACTGCCTGTTTAAGAACATTCAGAACATTCAAAAGTAATGTTCCCATAATGTTTGCAAAATTCTAAAATGGAATGTGTCCTTAATGTTCGCATGGCAAAAAAAAATAAAAAAAAATAAAACATTAAAAAAACTGGGCATTTTGAAAGTTCAGAGAACATTCAGAAATAATGTTTTCATAACTGAATGGGAACATCAGCAAAACATTCTTAGAACATAATTTTGTTAGCTGGGATATGGCTGCTAAAGAGGTAAAATTAAGATCCTGAAGTAATAGAAGAGATATTGGCTCTCAATATTGAAACCATTTGCAGGAGTCTTTATGAAAATGAAAAATGTGGTACTGATTATGATACAGTCTAAATGCAAATGTTGATACACATCTTTTCATTTTACAGCACAAAAAGAGCTAACTGCTGTGGAACACCAAGTGATATCAGCACGTAAAAGGTACAGGCACATCCCTCTTGTTGAAAATATTACAAAAAAACTTATTTTTAGTTACGTTAATTTACAATTATAGCCATCCTGAAAAGCCTGGTTGTTTTTTGGTGCTTCATGTCTTTTCTTCCTCAGCTTCTCTTACCTAGTGGAGTATTTTGGGCTGCAGTCACGTTCCGGGGAGCAAGAGATTATGCCAGGCCATGTTTTCACATTTTGGTTTGAATTTTGCAATGACTTCAAGATCAGATGGAAGAGAGAGAACAAGGTCATATCCAAACTGAGGTGAGAGTTAACAGCATCTTGAGTATCTAGCATCATATTTTCTGGTTGCTGTGATAACCAAGTTAAGGGTAATTTTGTCACTGACAGTTAAAACTTGCTGGATTTGAAACATTGCGGATAAATAAAATGCAATCCATCTGCAATTTATTTATTATTTTTTTTACTTCAGAATCAAAGAGGCCCAACAGTCAGTGCGCAACATGACAGCAGAGAAAAGCATTGAGACCAGAAGGGCCAGTGCGAATGGACTGGTAAGCGTTTGTCTTCATTGGTGGCAGATAGATAAGCAAACACTAGTAGCTATTGTTCTTTTATGAATCCGATTTTTAAAACATTCATGAATAATGTAAGCACAGCTGAATAAGAGTTCAAAATTATGTATGTTTCTGTTTTTTTTTATGACAGAAAGAGAGACTGCGTCTGAAAGAAGCAAGTCTGACCACCAGCTGACCCTTTCTCCAGACTGCATGTTACTGAACAGGATGACAGCCTGTCCGTCAGACTAGTGGATCCTATGTGTAGCCCAACAGCCAATCGCACACTTGCACATTTATGACCCAAAGATCCCTTTGACTATGGTTTAGATATGAATTAATGCTGTTCAAAGTGAGAAACATTTATGAAATGATTATATTACAAGTTTACTCAATCTGCTCTGGAATCTTAGCAATCCAGTCTAAACAATTAAGCCTTCAAATGTGTTGAAAATCTCGATATCTGACTAGGAAAAATCAGTAACTTTATTTTGTATATTGAGTAACAAAGTTGTGTAACTTTTTATTGTCATATTAAATCATTACAGAATATTACAAAACATAAAGATAATGTACATGTAAAATAATATAATTTTAAACTATCCTTATCGGTTTTATTTTGTTCAACATCACACATTTTTTTATTTATGTCAGTTGTTGCTTTATCACATCTCATTGCCATTTAATCACAGTAATATTGTTCCTTTTGCGATAAACGCATCATTGTAGAAGAAGGTTGTAACTCTGGCACCTTATTCATTTGACATTACTTGCATGAAGACCAGGATAAAACGCATTGGAATGTTTTTGTTTGTTTGTTTACTAAATTACTTATTTACATCTACAATACAAAGGTATCTACATTGATCCACACAGTGGAAAATAATAAGCATATTGTTAATGTGTCATTCTTTTTATAGTATTATAACTAATGCAACTTATTTTATAGTAATGGCATCAATTGTATTTATTATAGTAAAAGGATACTACTACTACTACTATTCACAATATAAAGGCACAAGATGACTTTTTGACTGAGCGAGTAACGATGCAGGAAACAAATCGATAATGCTCCTTCATTATTATGCTATAGGAGTGCACTGAATATTGACTTTCAGACAAACACACATTCACAAGTTGCCTACAACAATGATGTCAGCAAGTTTAATCCAAGTCGACAGAAGTACAGCGGCACTGTTTCACACGGCGCACGCGCTTCTTCTTGGTGCTGGGGATCTGCCCGGGACAGATGAGCGTGTAAGTGACCGTCGTGTAACTCTTTGGCTTACACACGGAGCACGACTGAAACGCACCGTCCTCTTGATAAACGTGTCGAGGTATGTAGAATGAGTTGCACTGTCCGTAACAGAAGCGATTGATGATGGTGCGCGGCTGGCACCCGTCCTCGTAAATCATCAGTTTAAGCGGCTGCGTTTTACACCAGTCAAGTTTGAGATAACGGCGCTCCGTTACGTGTAAAGCCTCCTGGCTGGAGTCCAGCACCTCGTCCCCGACTGAAGGCGGTCCCATTCCCCCAGAACTAGCCTGCGGTGTCTGCGGTGACTGTTCCGACTGGTTTGGGCTGTATTTATTTGGGTGAGGAATGGCGCCTTGAAATCCCCCGGTTCCCCTAATCCTCGCCGGATTGCAGAGCAGCCACAAGACCACGATAGTGACAGCTAATGCCTCTTTAGTCATTCTTTCACAAGAAAAAAAGAGATACATTATTATATTATATGTTTATATATATATAAAAATATTGTGTGTGTATATATATATATATATATATATATATATAGTGTGTATTTGTATATATATATACACACATGCAATATTATATTATACTTTTTATAAAACTTTTCATATATAAAATTAATACAGCTACCAAACCTATTTGAAAGCATATAAAATTATAAATTATTTAACCAAAAAAATTATATATATATACTATTCAAGTTCTCTACATAATTTTGAGAGCAAACTGCTATTTCCCTCTGGCAACTTATTTCTTTAAACACATTTCAGATGTGATTTAAACTAAATATCCAGTAGATATGCACACTTACCTCAGATTAATAATGGTTCAAATTTATTCACATGGACTTCAGCTGTTCACAAAGGTCTTTGTATATCATAACAAACTACAATTAAAAATAGGTTGAACCAAAAGTTCCAGAGCTCACAGTCAAAATAAGTTATGGAGCTGTGTTCTGAACGCTGACATTTAAGAGAATGGGGCAGTCCACGCCTCCTCAGCCTAAAATCATTCACAGCACTTTGGGGATGGTCCAGTGCTTTTGGAGAGTACGGTCCTTCACGATGTAGACATATCGGATGCGTGTGATATTTGTAAGTTAGATGAATCATGAAGTTAAAAACATGTCCCTGATTATCTGCACATGAACATGTCATTTTTATTTGATTAAGTGGTATTACAACAAAAATTGTGCCAAGAGAATAATCATTCATGTTACAATCTCCATTTGCACCCTTGCTCTATTAATAATATGATTTATTTGTATATAACACATAATTTAATGCTTACTTTGCTGTGAAACAGAAAAGTCATTTTTATACAAATTGTATGAACGTGATGTTCAGGCCTTGATATTGCTTGTAGCAGTTTCAACTTCATCTTCCTCAGGGAAATGTGGCACTGATTTCTTGGCCACCACGTTATCCAGCCTCTGTCCCATCAGATATGGATTTGCACTCTGAAACACAGTCAGTGACAGATCCTGTGATATTTTACTGAAAATACGAGACATATAAGTAATTATAAAATCTTATAATTCTTGTGCTGGTCTATTGAGAAGGATGTAGCAAAAAAAATGCAAAGAAAAATAATGTTTTATTTTTTTTCATATTTATAGCATACCCTTTTTCTTCTCTTTGGCCCACCCTTCAGCTTTTCATACAACATTCCTTTATTCTGAAAGAAAAAAAAAGATATTTAAGTGCAGTCTGTTACAAACCAGTATTCACATATCTGTACATTATATATTCTCTGTACATTAACTTCTACAACATACTCTCATGGCAATTCGTAACCATTTAACATTTTGGTGAATTGGTAAAAATTCTGTCATTAATTACTCATCTTCGTGTTGTTCCAAACCCGTAAGACTTTTGTTCATTTTCGGAAAACAAATAAAGATCTTTTTGATGAAATCTGAGAGCTTTTTGTGCCTCCATAGACAGCTATACAACTACCACTTTGACGCTGCAAAAAGTTCATAAAGAAATCGGAAAACTAATCCATATGAATTGAGCGGTTTAGTCCAAATTTTCTGGAGAGACTTTTAGCTTAGCTATAGCTTTATTTGATGAACAGATTTCATTTAAGCTTTTATTCACATATATACATTATTAGCGAACACAAACAGAAGCTCAATCGTACCTGCTTGATGCGCGAGAACAAACCCCATTGGTTCTTGCAGAAGCTCAAACGTGCTGCGTAACACACGAGAATTAACCTCATTGGTTCTCGCATGTTAAGCAAACATGCTTGAGCTTCCGTTTACCATAACTGATGCATGAGTTGATGAATGTTCATATGTGAATAAAAACCTAAATTCAATCTGTTCATCATATAAAGTGATCACTTCAAAAAATTTGGACTAAAGCGATCAATTCGTATGGATTCGTTTTACGTTCTCTATCTTCATTTGTGTTCAGAAGATGAACGGAAGTCTAATGGGTTTGGAACGACATGAGGGTGAGTAATTAATGACAGAATTTTCATTTTTAGGTGAACTATCCCTTTAAAGTCCTTCTACACTGTTGTTTATATTATATTGTTATTTTACATTAAATTACATAGTTATTTGTAGTATATGTTATTTGTTATATGTAGTTCATTTGATTGATTCACCAATAAGGATGAAAGAATCTTGCTAAATGTAGAGGAGAACATATGTATGTAAGTACAGGAAAGGTACTTGACAGAATCATCAAATACGATTAGTATAATAAAAGTCTGATAACTGAGAGAAAGTAACTTCACTGCACTTTTCACTAAATGAATCATTCATTTCATTTAAATGAAAAATCAGAAGTCCGGACTGTTTCAAGGTGTCAAGTGTGAACTTACCCACTTGGCCAGCGCAGGGTAGTCATGTTCAGGGTCAAAGAGGTGCTGATGTTTCTGGAATTCCCGACTGAACTCAGCAGTGTCAGGAGCGTTCTCTAAACATCCATCAGCAGCTATAAAGACATGATCACATTTTTTCAACCAGGAGAGATGCATCCCATTCTCAAACCATTCACAGAAGTTTAGATTCGTTTAGGAGGATATAGTAAAAATGTTCAATCTAATCAAATATTGAAAATGGATTCCTCTTGGTTTTTATGTGATTGATAATCTAAATGAATGGTGACACCACTGTATATTTGTGCACTGCATTCGGTTGCATTTGGATCTGCATACCAGTCTTTCCAAGGGGGCAAGGATTGGGAGGGTCGGGGTAGCCATGGTCCTCGCTGAAGTCTTTGGGAACACTATCCCCAGTTAACTCTGCAACAATGTTAGGGATATTCCCATATGGCCCGAGATGCTGGAGTCCCTCATGGGCACCACCTATTGGACAAAGTGTAAAATTACAGATAAAGGTAACCGCGTCATGAGTATTATACAGTTCTTATATCCCCATTCACCTGTATAATCATTTGCGTCTTTTAAAACCTGCGCTTATAGAGAAACTCTTACCTTGGATGCTGAGAGGACCCACTATGTTGGTGGCCTGGTGCGCGGGATACTCGACCCTGGGCCGCGCGATTCCCAGCTGCTCCATCACTCCATGAAGCAGGCGCTGGATATCCGCCTCCGACACCTGATCCACTGTGCGTGGACTACGGCCAGAAACCACGGCCATCGAGCATATAACGACACTCAGAAGAACCGTGTGTGTCATTTTCGGAACCGAACCCATCGTTGACTTTCACTACACACCGACAATAAACAAAACATGTAGCCTAACGTTAACGTTAGTGTAAAAAAATATTGCTGTGGTGTATGCTAGCTAAAACTTCAGATGTAAACAAAATATAAACATTATTTTTTATTGTTTTATTTTCACCGACCAGCTAATGTTGAAATTGGCTTATAAACATGATCTATAATTTAGATATTATTGCGCTCAAAGAAAACGCACATCCCAGATTGTAACTACGTACGTCACAAGGCTTGATAAAAACATAGGCCGTTATTTTTTTATACGCGTACATTAAGAAACATTCGTTGTTCAGCAAAGCAAAACATCCAACGTGTTGTAGACTATACAGAATAAAGAGTTAAGCAAACACAAAGAGGTAACCTACCATGTAATCTGGATTGAGAAAGAGTGTGTCGGGTTCAACACAGATGCCGTCCTCCTCCTCGCTTCATTTGCTCTGTTGCCAAGCAGCAGAATCATCATCACACCCATTGGTTTACGGAGTGACTAGAACACATAGCCATTAAAACATGCTGCTGTATTTTATAGGAAACGTTAGGCCTATGATGGGGGGGGGGGGGGGGGGGGGGGGGACTCTGATCTATATAATGACAGTGGAAAAAACTCATATTTTCCATATCATTATTTTTCATTATATAATAAATAAATCATTTGCCTGTACATGTCGTGTCATTTATTCCTTTAATGTTATGGGCCTGTCAGTTTACAATGCAAATACAGCCTAGTAGCCTACAATGCAAAGAATAATAGCCACAACAATTATTCAATGATGCAGAATGAGGCCTGGCATTGTCTTATTCTACAGCATCTCTGCATAGAATTGATGTAGGGCCAATAGATTTCTCCTTGCATAACAGAGATTCAAGTTGCATTTTTGATTTCCAGATTTCTCTGGATCTTTTCACAATGTTATGTATGGTGTAAGACCTAATGCAATCTTGCATTGAGAAATGCAATTTTTGAATTGTTTGACTATTCTATCATGTAATTTGCCACAAAGTGATGAGTCATGACCTATATTTGATTGCAAAGACAGAGTCTTTGGTGGATGCTCCTTTTATACCCAAACACGATACCCTCACCTATTACCAATTCACCTACTTATTGTGGACTGTTTCAAAACAGTTTAACTTGGATATTCTGTAATCTTTTCACTTTTATTTTGCCTCTGCCTCAACTTTTTTGGAGTGTGTAGCTTCATATTCAAAATTGGTTATATTTTGGACAGTGAAAAGGAATTGGAATTTTTTTCTTTGTACTTTTGTCAGTTAAACCAAGGTTCAAGAGAATTAACTAATCACAGATTGTTGATTATTTTAGCATTTTACAAAATATCCCAACTTTTCTGAAATCGGGGCTATATTTTTTTGAAGATTTTACAAATGGAATAATTCACGAGTTCACACTTATATACAATTAGATGGAGTAAGGTTTAATGCATATTTGGCGTGCTGTCCGGGGGGAGGGCTCCGAGCTCGGATTTCGGCCCGAACCCAGAGTACTCCTCCCCCCGTATGTAAATGGTTAGGACTAGAAGTGTGGAGAAGGGGTGGTGGAGGGATGCTGTCAATGGATTGAGGTGAGACTGCTGAATCTACACCTCTTATCGTTGATTGCTGAGTGCTCTCCACTCGTGTTAATTATCTGAACGTGCTCCTCCTGAACTTTGTTAATAAAACATCATTTATAATTTAAGAATGCTAGAGAAAAGTATTTTTGCTCTTGGACATTTTGTACCCTTTTGCACTTGGTGGTTGAAAAGTTTTGTGCATGTGTAAAGTTTTGAGGATTTTTCTTGTAGTATACCAAATTTACAGATATTAATAAACTGGGAGCTTTTGTTGAGTAAATGACTAATAGCAGCATTTTCTTCATTAAATATTCAAAGAAAAAACACAAAGAGTACATTTACACTTCACAACTTTTATTACAACAGTAAATGTATATACAGCACAAGACACAGTAACAAATGTATACGGAGTGTTAGATGGATTGACTTGAGGAGGATGAGGATCGGACTTTTAGAAGCACTTTCTATGAACGATGGAGGGACCTGCCTCATCATATTCCTGCTTGCTGATCCACATCTGCTGGAAGGTGGAGAGGGAAGCCAGGATGGAACCACCAATCCAGACGGAGTACTTACGTTCAGGGGGAGCAATGATCTAGAGGACGAACACAAGAACATGAATGTAGTTAGACTGTAAAACTGGAACTATAAAGCAAACAAGAGCTCATTTAGAAAAGTTTACCTTGATCTTCATTGTGCTAGGGGCCAGAGCAGTGATCTCCTTCTGCATACGGTCAGCAATACCAGGGTACATGGTGGTACCACCAGACAGGACATTGTTGGCATACAGATCCTTGCGGATGTCAATGTCACACTTCATAATGCTGTTGTAGGCGGTTTCATGGATGCCAGCAGATTCCATACCTGTGAGGGGCAATGTCACAAACTGTGTTAGTGATATTTCCATATTTCAGAAGGGAGCACTTGTGATGTATGGACAGCAACATGGGTTGATGCAATGAGACCCAACTAAAACATACCAATGAAAGAGGGCTGGAAGAGGGTCTCGGGGCAGCGGAAACGCTCATTTCCAATGGTGATGACCTGGCCGTCAGGCAACTCATAGGACTTCTCCAAAGAGGAGGAAGAGGCAGCAGTGGCCATCTCATTCTCAAAGTCCAGAGCGACGTAGCACAGCTTCTCTTTAATATCACGCACAATCTCACGCTCAGCTATGGAAGAGAAAAGAGAGTAAGTTAATTGAGAAAAGACAATGAAAACATTTGTTTTGAGATAATGACAATACATGACTGTACGCCTGTTTATTGCATGGCTTCTCACTGAGTAAATGAATAACTTGGATATTTAAAAAAATGATTTGCAATGAAATTATGTAACTGTAGGCCTATATCTTATAGTGTCAGCTAAGAATTTTTTTACAAAAATGATCTGCCTAGTAATGAGACAAACAATTTTACATTAATATTAAAACACTGAGGTAATTTCTTTTTAGTGTTTACTAATTTCTAAACAAAATCATTAAAAGAAGTATGATTCTCTATAGAGCACCCACCAGTTGTCACGAAAGAGTAACCACGCTCTGTCAGGATCTTCATCAGGTAGTCAGTGAGATCTCGACCGGCCAGATCCAGACGCATGATGGCGTGAGGTAGGGCATAACCCTCATAGATGGGGACGTTGTGGGTCACACCATCACCAGAGTCCAGCACGATACCTGTAACATGCATTGGCATTTCAAGTTTTCTACTGGCATGTTAAAGTATTGCTTTCTTTTACAGATTTATAGGATTTAATGCCTATAATGTTATGTATTGCTTCTGGTGATTTGATAGACACTGACCAGTGGTACGGCCAGAGGCGTACAGGGAGAGAACAGCCTGAATGGCAACATACATGGCAGGGACGTTGAAGGTTTCAAACATGATCTGAAAAAAGAGAAAAATACAGCTTTGTTATCCTTAAATAAAACTGCAATCATAAAAACATTTTCATTACTTGAAATAAAATAAACAAATGAAATATGTATAGATAGATAGATAGATAGATAGATAGATAGATAGATAGATAGATAGATAGATAGATAGATAGATAGATAGATAGATAGATAGATAGATAGATAGATAGATAGATAGATAGATAGATCAAATCTAATTCAAAATACTGACAAAAACTATTATAGTATTTCAATGATACTAATAACACTGGTTTCAGCATGGTAAACACATATGGTTAATGTAAAACCTAAGGCTCAGGGGGCCACAAGGGGGTGCTAGGGCGACCGTGAAAACGTTTAAAGAAATATAAATAAATGAATTAAACAAATACATTTTTGGTTACAATTCATTTCAAGGTGACATAGTTACATTGTACTTACTCAAATAAGCATTGAGTAATATTAATTAACTACATTTACTTACTATAGAGTTAGGGTTTGGTTTGGTTAAGGGTTAGTTACTTGCAATTATGCATAATTTACTGTTATTACTATAGTAAGTACATGTAGTAGCGTGTAACTACTTCACCTTAAAATTCAGTTACCCATTTTTTTACAGTATAAATGTATTTGAATATTTGGCTGCTATTATACGCTTCCACATCATAGGGTCCCACAAGGGGACATTAATGTTTGGGGTCCCTGTCAAAAAAAAATGTGTAAACCCCTGCATTAGCTTACCTGGGTCATCTTCTCTCTGTTGGCTTTAGGGTTGAGAGGGGCCTCAGTGAGCAGAGTGGGGTGCTCCTCAGGGGCCACACGCAGCTCGTTGTAGAAGGTGTGGTGCCAGATCTGGAGAAATATATTAAATGAATGGATGAATGCATGTGAATGACCAAACTAATAGGGAAAAAATCCTTATGTTTGATAAATGGATGAAAAACAAATCAGCATTCTGTAATAATTCTGTGATTGCTACCTTCTCCATGTCATCCCAGTTGGTGATGATGCCGTGCTCGATGGGGTATTTAAGAGTGAGGATACCCCTCTTGCTCTGAGCCTCATCTCCCACATAGCTGTCTTTCTGACCCATACCGACCATCACACCCTGAGGTACAAGAGTCATGAATTAAATCTATAATCTGTAGTTCAGTTTGTTTGTATAATCATTTTCCAATATGCAATATTGGAAAACAGGCTTTGGAGGCCCACCTGGTGACGGGGTCTGCCAACAATAGAGGGAAAGACAGCACGGGGAGCATCATCACCGGCGAATCCAGCCTTGACCAAACCAGAACCATTGTCGCACACGAGTGCGGTAGTCTCGTCGTCGTCACACATGATTGGTCTTTTTTAGAATGGTCCTGGGAGAAAGAAAACATGTGTTAGGAGAGTGTATAAATGTACAACAATGGTAATAAAAGAAATATTTAAAAAAAAAACTTTATATGTTTTTAGCTTCAAAATGGTCATGATAGAGCCAAAAGCAGCACAGCAGAACCCCTTTAAACTATTTTAGGAATCAGCTCTTGTCATATTGAAGTTACAGAAGCCCCTGACCGAGTGTCCTATCTGTAGCTATTTCGCAGTTGTCTGATGACAAATGACAACAGGACCCAAGGATCGCCTCCTCAGCTGTCTAGAAACTGTAAGAGATCCACTGGCAACGTGTCAGTTCACTACATCTGTTGGTGACTCTCTTTATTAGAGCATTTTCAAGTGACCCTTATGGGATCTAGACATGGAATCCAATCTAATACAACTATAGATACCTCTGCTTCATTCTGCTATCCTTCATTATACTTCCAGTGTTATTTCTTTATGCCCAACCATCTGTTTTCATACATTTCTCTAGCTACAGCTACATATATATTATCACAGAGGATGAGCAATTATCAGAAAAAGTAGTTTCTGTTAAGACCATCGATGTAAAATCAGCCAATTATCCACCATCAACAATTCCAGAAATGTATGTTCCTTCCCAAGAAGGAGATGAAGTGTTGGGTCATTCCATCTCAAATATTTCTCTCTCTGAAGTAGTCCATAGATAAAGGTAGTAGCAAACACTCACCAAGTTGTAGCACAAGACTGGGGTTTCCACTGGGATGAAGGGCATCGGAGAAGGATGCCCCTTAAATATGCTGGTGGGTGGGGGGCGGGTTCATGATTTCACACAACACCAAATAAGAGATGCTAAACGGCCCACAGCCAGTATATCCTGTACTATATTCTCCTGCATGATTACCAAAATGTACAGATGTTTCTTAAGAGGGGACAGATCCTCTTTGGTAGCAAAATAAGCATTGGGAAACTGTTTTATAATGATTTCAGATCCAAATGGAAGGCCCAAAGAAGCCAAGTAGCCTATTCTTTCATCGTTCTCCATCTCTTTTCATATATGTAATGTTTTGTTTTATGTCATGTTCTGTTATTATGTGTGACAAAAAAACAAACACTAAATAGATCTTAATGATGACTGATTGTTACTAGATGTAATTTAGTCACAAAAAATATAAAGATAAATAGCATTGTTTTCTATGAATGTGGCTAAAGAAATATGTTATGCTAACTGTTTCATGATGCCATTCTTCTAAAGATGCACAATAAATACCATAGCGGTTATCGGACCATATTAGAGTTTTTTCTGCTGTCATCTAACACTTTAATTGAGTAATGTTTAAAAAATAATAATAATTTAGCACTGTTAAACTTTAGCAAATATCAAAATGAACATTACTTTTTTCATACTGTAGGCTACATTATAATATAATGACAAAACCAGTGTTGCTAGTGTTAACTAAAACTAAAACTATTCAAATGTGTTACCGTTACTTGAATACAGCTGAAATAAAATAAAATAAAATTATTTGTTGGAAAATGTGAAAAAACACAAATTGGAAATGCTGTCTTGGCAGATGACTGAAATAAAATAAGTTGAAGTTGAAGAACTAAAATTACTTAAAAACTTAAAATAGTTTAAAGTTAAATAAAAAGTGACAAAAGCACATAACAAAATTACTAAAACATTTAAATGAAACTTTATAGTAAAACAACAATCTATTTTAGAATATTTATAAATACCATAATAGTGTAAAAATAATACTAAAATAGCCAACATTTTCATGTACCATTTAATTTTTTTTTTAATTATTATTATTATTTAGACAAAATAGGATAGAATCTAAACATTGACCACAATAGTGTAGTAATACTAAAATAACCAAAATTAACTTGTACCATTTAAAAAAACATTTGTTGACAAAATAGTATGGAATTGTAATATTGACATTTTCTTGGCCAATCACAATCATATCAACCATTTAAATATAAAATTTAGGCAAAAGGAGACAATAGCACATGCAAAATAGTTGGTTTGTTATGCCATTACACACACCAAACAAATAAACTTAAAGGAATGTCAGGAAATCGCACATCATGGCCTTTGACACGGAACAATATATATGTGTACGGTCAGTCGGTCACTGTTGACACAGTGTAAAAAAAATGATTTGACTTCACAGGCATTGGAAAGTTCAGAGCACAGACGTGCGGGGTCACATCTAGGAGCCGGACCTGAGTAACACCACCTTTGTCAAATGGCCTGGGCCCTGGTATGCGATCGGGCCCATAACATGCCAGACAGCTGAGAGGTGTGGGGGTGTTAGGAAGGACCTGTGTCCTTTCTCTGCAACTGCTGTTCTCTGATTGGCTCAGCTCTGTCCTTTTAGGGTCATGGTGAGTGACAGGTGCTCCTGGCGACACATCAGTGCAGCTCCTCGGTGCTGCTTGCTTGGCTCCAACTCCTTATTTGTCACCTTCTCCCCCGTTATCTCTTTCACTCGACACTGTGAGAAAACAGAGAATGTTTCCTCTGTATATTCTTCTATATTTGCCGAAAAACTCGTTTGATTCTACGCATATAATTCGGGTTAAAACATGCATTTTACAGATTCATTTTCTTTCACCATTTGGTGTTAAAGGTGCTATTGCCTCCTGTTATGGTGTGTATGTGTTATCTTGTGTTGTTTCAGGCTTGGTGAACAGGAGATAATGTTCTATTTGTGACCCTCAAAGCTCAAACCTGACTGAAAAAAGCCGTGATATCAGCGTGATAGTATTTTCTAACCTTTTGTTATCAGATTTCTGGAGTTTCTTACAGACCCTTCGGCTTGCTGTGCCAAAGTTGGATTATGTGTGAGCATTTTTGAGCATCATCCTCTATCCTCTCTGTTAGATGTGCTATTATTAGCAGTTTTTTTCACTGTAGCTTGATAGATATCTACAGCACACAATCCATTCGGATTCCCTTGAACCCTCACGTATACTGTGACTGATACTAGCATCTTATTATAGCTCCGATGATGTTGTTTACCGAAATGAAATTTCTTTGCAATTGTAGTGTGGTTTAGTATCTTTCTGGTGAAAAGCGTGGCTTGCAGCGTGATGCTCAGGAAAGATAAATGAAGGAATTTGGGTGTCTTGTTGGGCTATTAAAGTACAGTAACAGTTGTAATTCTACCATGGCAATATTTACTGGGTTGATGATCTATTAGCGTCAGTTAAGAAGCACTGCTGTGTGGGAGGCCCAGTGGTCAAACAAAGCAGGCAACCAACACAAGCACTTTGACAGGGTCCGGTCTGTCTCCTTAAAAGGGCATGGAGGGGACACAGGATTTGCCTGTTTCAGACAGCTGTGCTTACCAGTAGACCACCACTTGGAGTGTGGCAACTGTTGGGCCCAAATGCTTTTTTAACATTCATTACATTGGGAACAATGGTTTGTTGATCAACCTGTTTGTGACATGAGCCTGCAGGGCCATACCAGCAAGTGATGTGGATCATATGCTGGGCTGTTGATCCACATCATGCAGTGTTTGCAGGGCCTTTAATATACATGGTAAGGATGAATTCACCTTCAAATGTGAGTACATAAAAGATGAGTAAATATCTCTATTTCAGAATATCCAAAACAAATGACAAAATGGTAGGGGCATAACGAATCCCTCATATCACGATACGATATTAGTGCGATACTCCAAGACATATGATAAAAGGTTAACAAAAAATGTGCTGTTGATTAAAATGCTAAATTTAATATTACATTGTGTGTGTAAATGAATAGAATTGGACTTCTGGAAACCCAATACAGGACAATAGAGACACTAGAATAACAATATTCATGATTCTGAAGCTGAAAATACACAATTATTTTAGACGAATATTGTTACACTCTTTCACTGACTAGATATATTTAAAATAATGTCAGCCACTTTTTACTGGTAACATCAGACATTTGGCATTATCAGGACACACAAATATTCCCCCATTTCATTATTATACATTATATTCAACATTACATATAGCAGTTAAATGTAGTACTGACACTAAAACTCGAATTTGACAACTTTATTTTTTCCTCACACAGAAATTTTCATTTTGGGTGAATTATACACAATATTGTCACTATCCACGATACATATTGATGCATTTTTGTATTGCGATATATTGTGACACGATATATTGTTACACCCCTACAAAATGGCTAAAAAAATTGAGAGGGAAAATGCCAGTAAATAAGTCAGTGCTGTTATCGTTAACTAAAACTATTGAAAATTGTTTTTAATAATTGAAATAAAGCTGAAAAAAGTATATATATATCAAATGAGGAATACTGTACTTTAATACTTTCACTACCTGTTGTGCCACAAGGCTGTTTCAGTGATATGTCTGCTAACAAGGTGTAATGTGTCGGCTAAAGCAGCTGTTAACTCTTCAGAATGACGAACCACTGACAGGCATGCTAATAAGAAAAACCCCCTATAAATGATCCTCACAGTAATGTACATGTCCCAGAGCCAATCACTGTTCATATTCAGACACCCATACTGACTCAGACAGGAAGCCTCACGTTCATGACTATCCATTACTGTGTTTTCACAGCAGTTACAGCAGCACAGATCAACTGACAAGTCAATGACAGGAAAGATATAACAGTTTTAGTACATGCAAAAGAAAACATATCAGCATATGTAAATAAGCATAAAAGATTAATTGGCCTATTTTAAAGCAGGCCGGACAATGTTAACGCTTTGTTCTTCGTGATTAAGGAATGAGTTCCTACGACTTAGTTAAAACTAAGTTTCGAAATGTCCCGAGAGCACTTAGAGGAGAACAGCCGGTCACCAGCTCATGCCATGAGTGCCCCAGATAATGACTCCTATAAATATATTGAGTGCTTTAGAAGTTTCCATGTCAGAAATGTTGTCCATTACAGGTGTGCATGGAGCTAACTATAATCCACTCTGTGTATTTAAACAGTACGTCATGATTAACCTTGAGTAAAAAAAAAAGTAATTGAAAAATTGCAATGTTATTTTTATATTGAATATTCAATGGCCAATAGTTACTGGCTTATTGAATTGACCAGCATTTCAAGATCAGTTATGAACTAACACGCATTAAAATCAACCAAGATCAACAATCAAGAGAATGTGGTTGAAGTCAGTTTGGGCAGAAGCTAAAAATCTTTGTATCAGCTGAAAGAATTCATTAAGCCTGTGTAGGCAACAACAGCAACAAGGAAGAAAAACTTGCCAAATGTAACACATTAAATGGGATATTTTGGATTTAAGGGAGTTAATCTGCACTATACATGTACCACCACAATCATTTTACTCTCCTGTTCAATAAAACTATTGAAGGGGCACTTATGTCTTAAAAATGAAACTAAATTACCTTGAGCACTGATTTAAGTCTGCTTTTAGTTTCACAGATGGTTTAGATTAGGCCATAGTTCAATCAAGGCATTTAAGTAGCTTTAAAAAATATGCCTTAGAAATAATTACTGGTGTGCATCTTGAGATAAAACAATGGCACAGACAATCTTTAAGATGTCAGTGCAAGTTGCTTTCAGTTAAAACATGCATTTTAGTCTGGGACTATCTTAAGCCTTGTCTGTAAAACCAGGGGCCAGAGTCGTAGACAAATGTCTAATCCTCGTCTCTGCCACACCCGGGAGGCAAAGCAATGAGTAGAAAAGCAGCAAGTAGAAGGGCTCTTTTTATTATCATTTAAAACAACAAAAATAAAAAGTAATAGTATAAGACATCATTAAAACAAATGAATAGTTAAAGAAAAATCATGTAAACTAGAATGAGA